GAAATAAGCGTCAGATTCTTTTCAAACTTCACACATCTCAATATTTCTACTAACACAAGATATAAGGGGAAATGGTGGATATCGACCTACCTCTTGTGATACTTCCCCCACAAACGATCACAAGAGATATGATGTAAATGAATTTGCCTATCCACACCCTCTGATACATCCTCTTCCCCAACAAAAAATTAAAATTTTGATTTACAATTTTCTTTACATTTTGCAGGTCCCAATACTTTTATTAGAATTAGATGAATAGGAATACTTCGATCCACCATATCTGGAACCTTCCACACATTTTAATATTCTCTAAAAATTATCACATGGCTCATATCAAGTGATGTAGTCTAAATAGGGGAGGATTTTTGTTAATTACTAACAGATGACTACTACTAGCTACACAAAAATTTGTTTAAATTTTTTTTTTTATTTATTTATTTATTTATTTTTATTATTATTTTTTTTTTTTTTTTTGAAAAATCGTGCTTTTTCTGTAAATATACTGTTTGTCAATGGAATCTCGAAATAATATTTTTTCAAAATTTGTGAAATATTACTACTATATGAAACCATATCATCGAGAAAAGGAGGCTTCAATGGTACTTGATTCGATCCTCCTCTCATAACTACTGGGTAGGGTACATAACTTAATTTAATACTTTTAACTGTTTTACAATATTGAACAGCAAAATGAGACATGGCGATAAAAACGTGATGTGGTAGCAACAACTGCTTTTGAAACTAATTAATTGTATTAATGTGTACATACACACAGACATATTTTACTATTGAATGTACACAAAGGGAGGCACGAAGGCAGGGTGAAAGGAATAAACGTATGAATGTACCAACTCAACGCATATTTTGTATTTACTTAACCAAACGAACAACAAAAGCAATAACAGTTCATGGTAGTACATATACACAATGTTACACTTAAAATTTATTAACATTAAAAACAAACACACACACTCTCATACATACGCCTTTGCGAATTTAAACTTTCACCGAGAGTAAAGATTAAACCTTTATGAGAGAGCGGCGCGACGCGTCACTTGGTCATCATTATGTATAAGGATCAATTATCGAATCCAATGAATTCTCGGTTGTTGTTGCTTTTTATATTCTGACGAATGTTCATTAATTAAACATTCTCTGGCATCGTTCCCGCTCGGCGAATGGATGGACGGACGGGCTTTATATGAAATATGAAAATTACCGATAAAATTCATTAAAATACATGGGATAAGACTTGCAATACAAAATTTTAATAATAAAAAAGAACATGAGTGTGTGTGTGCGCGCGGTAGTAAAGGGAATGAATATTTTTAACGATTATTATTACATAATGTAAATTTTCATAAATAAATATTAAAACTGAAATATGAATAAAAGGGATTATGTGTGTGTGTGGATTGTGTGTGTTTTTTTAATTATATTAATAACATGTATCAATATGTAGGGAGAGAGGTCGTTAGGACAGATTGGTTGAGGGCAAAGGTTGGTTGTATTATCGGGACTATGAAAATGTAAAATTAAAGCTATTTTTATACCCTCCACCTTGAAAAGGAGGGTATATAAACATTGTCATGCCTAAATATTCGTCGTAGACCCCATAATGTATATATATTCATAATCAGCATAGAATTCTAAGTCGATTTAACGATGTCCGTCTGTCTGTCCGTCTGTCTGTTGAAATCATGATACTGCCCACATTATTTGAAGTAGAGCGTCAAAATTTAGCAGAATAATTTGTATTGTGTCTAGGATGGTTGGTATTGAAAATGAGATATATCGGTCCACGTTTTGGTATAGTCCCCATATAACGGTACCTCCCGATATTCGGTATTTCGATGATTTTTGCCACATTTTTCACGGATTTGTCTGAGAATTGGTATTTGTAGGTCATAATGGAACCCAGTTCGTGTGGCGAAACATTGTTTGTATAGGTCCACGCTTTGGTATAGCCCCCTTATAACGGTATCTCCCGATATTCGGAATTTTGATGGTTTTTGTCACATTTTTTCACGGATTTGTCTAACAATTGGAATTAGTTGGTCATAATAGGTTCTAGCTCCGTTGCCGAAACATTGTATGTTTAGGTCCATGTTTTTATCTACAAATTCTTATTGGTTCTAAAGTTCCAATTACACTAAGGTGGAGAGTATTAAAAGTTCGGCCCGGCCGAAAAAAAATTGTTTGAGACACTTTTTGGAAATTGTTTATAAAATGTACTAAAACAAGTTAAAAAGAATCAATCGGTTCTACCGAAAGACGTATACTCTCAGAAAATGTTCGATTATATAAGTACGCTTAGACTTCTGCTATGATTTATCAAATTGTTGACCTCTATGGAGTGGGTTCTGAAGGAATGGGTTAATATTGTCCATTTCGAATCGGACCTAAATAAACACGATATAAATATTGCGACGTGCCAGGTTTGGACTATATAGTCGACCGAAGTCTTCCATTTTCATGCTTCATCTAATACAGATAAAAATATTGGTATGGCCAAAATAATAAGAAAATCGAATATAATTTCATTCATAAATTCCATATTCATCTCTGGTTTCTGGTTCTCAGGGAGATATATTTAGATATAGGAAGTTGTAAAGAATCGCTGACTCGTTTCGCAAGTTATGATATAAGTTTCGAATATTACGCTCCTTTTTGGATGATCTACCAGAAAGCGTTGGCAAATATATATCATCTTCACAACAGATCTTGTATTAGGAAAAGTGTTTGTATGTATGAAATTTGAAGAGAGTTTGATGCTTATTTCGTTTCATTGAGGGTTTTGTTTCTAAAAATCTTGAACCAATATGGGCCAGGTATCAAAAGAAATATTCCGATCTCTACCATCTTTATAACTGATTCTGTGTTGATGAAAAAATTGAGATGTACCAAGTATGAAATGGAATCGGATGATAATTTAGCTTTTTATGAGCTTAAACGCGAAATTAACATCAAGTTCTCTTTTAATTTTACACATCCCATTATTTCTACTAACACAAGATCTGTTGTAAATTTCGGATATATCGGTCTACTTCTTCTGGTACCTCCCCCAAAAAGACTCAAAATTTTGAATGGATATTCAAGGTACCAGAAGAAGTAGACCGATATATCCGACCTTCACAACAGATCTTGTGTTTGTAGAAATAATGGGATGTGTGTAATATAAAAAGATAACTTGATGTTAATTTCGCGTTTTATGAGCTTCATAGATAATCAAAATTTTGACCCTTTGTAGGGGAGGTACCAGAAGGAATGGTCTGATTTCTATCGTTTTTATAACACATCCTGTGTTGATGGAAATACTCAGATGTGCCAAATCTTCATTCATTCATTTAGCGTTTTATGAGCTTAATGGATATTCAAAAATTCGACCCTTTGTGGGGGAGGTACCAGAATGAGGGAACCTATATATTCCATCTTAACACCACATCTTGAGTTCATAAAAATATTGGGATGCGTGAAATTTTAAGACTATTATTCAAAATGTTGACCCTTTGTGGGGGAGTTACTTGATGGAGTGGATCGATATTGTCCATTTTTGCACCTGACCTGGCACTGACGCAAATATTAGGATTTGCCAAGTTGGAGTAAAATCGTATTATCCTTTCTCTTTCTGTGCAAAAAATATATTTTTTGAAAATTTCGACCGTTTGTGGGGGAGGTACCAGAATGAGTGAACCAAAATTGCCCATCTCTGAAATCGATCCAAGTTTGACAAAAATATTACGATGTACCAAGTACGGACCAAATCGAATACTCCCTTCGAGAGTTATCGTGCGCACCAGACAAACAGACGGACGGACATCGCTACATCGACTCCAAACGTTCTGAAACGGATTTGATCCAAAGAGACTTAGGGTCTAAAACCGTTATTTCGACTAGGGACGTTTTGACTGTATCAAATGATATATACCCTCTCTAGCCATATGGCTGAGGGCATAAAAAATATACTTGATCAGGCTTCAAATAGAATTTTTCCAAATTAAGTTGGTAGATCCGCAATCATACTGTTTTCTTGGGATTTTGGGATTGTTCCAATTTCGGGAACTCCTTTAAACTTGCATTTTTCCCATTTCTCATTTAAAATTTAAATTTCGTAAAACTTTTAATCCTGAATCTAGCACAGCATAACCCTTTTATTTGCAGTTCATATGCTCCTGATGATTTTACTATGAATATATGATGGTTATTGTTATTTTACGACACATACACATAGTATATGTGTAATTCACACATGCATACATATAAATGCCATAAGAAAAACAGGACAAACAAAAAAACAGTTAATATATTATTAAAAGCCGTAGAGCTGAATGTAGTCCAGACTTTTGGTCTGCAACAAAAGTGTTGTGAATTTTATATGCTGGGCTCAGTGCGATTGTTATAGATGCACATACACACAAATATTTCTCTAAATATATGTATGTGTAGATCTACTCATAAAATATATATTTACACGTCTGCATTTGACAGGCGAAACAATGAAGAGTTGCTTTGGTGTGACTGTTGTTGTGCCGGTATTGGCGTCCATAAGAAACGTAAATTTATTAATGTTTTATAGTTGTACTTGTTTTTGCTCCTGGCCGTATTGTTGTTGTGTATGAATGCAATATAAACTATGTATGTATGTATGTGGGCAACATTGTTATTGATAACAAAAAACAAGCAATACAATACTCCTGGGGGGCCAACAATTTACAATCACCACACGGCAGCACACTGGCAACCCAACAACATGTTGTAACATACCTCCCCCACCCCTCAAACACATGTAATTGTTTGATAACAACTGGCAATTTGTTGTAATGCATTTAACATTGGCCGGACAACAGCATTTTTAACAATCTCATTTTAAAACTTTAAATAATTGTTGCAATCCGAAAAAAAAACAGACGATGTTAACATACGTCCATCAAATATTTATGGCAAATTTAACACTTATCGACGTGAACGTACGACGACTACAGTCGACTACTACTACTTACCTTTGTTTTTTAATCTGCACTTGATTATCAATTCAATGTTAATGTTGAATAAATTATTTCCAGAAAAAATTAAATCCAATGATAATAATCCTGAAATGAGAGAGAAGAGAAGGGTGACGTACTTTAATTGAATGTTTATCGATAAGACTTGAATTGATTATTATTTATTCAAATTTAAATGTATACTTAAAAATGAAACATTGTAATCTGTATTTACCAACCCATTGTGACCCACAAATACCAATTTTTAGACAAATCAGTGAAAAAATGTGGCAAAAACCATCAAAATACCGAATATCGGGAGGTACCGTTATATGGGGGCTATACCAAATCATGGACCCAAACATGCAATGTTTCGCCACCGGAGCTGGAACCCATTATGACCAACAAATACAAATTTTCAGACAAATCAGTGAAAAAATGTGACAAAAACCATCAAAATACCGAATATCGGGAGGTACCGTTATATGGGGGCTATACCAAATCATGGACCCATACATGCAATGTTTCGCCACCGGAGCTGGAAACCATTATGACCCACAAATACCAATTTTTAGACAAATCCGTGAATAAATGTGGCAAAAAAAAACTAAAATACCGAATATCGGGAGGTACCTTTATATGGGGGCTATACCACAACGTGGACCTTTACATGCAATGTTTTGCCACACGCTCAGGGACCCGTTATGACCTACAAATACCAATTTCCAGACAAATCCGTGAAAAAATGTGGCATAAATCATCACAATATCGAATATCGGGAGGTACCGTTATATGGGGACTATACCATAACGTGGACCGATATATCTCATTTTCAATACCAACCATCCTAGACACAATGCAAATAGCTCTGCTAAATTTTGGCGCTCTACATCAGATAATGTGGGCTGTATCGTGATTTCAACAGACAGACAGACAGACGAACAGACAGACAGACGGACATCCTTAAATCGACTTAGAATTTTATGCTGATTATGAATATATATACTTTATGGGGTCTAAGACGAATATTTAAGGATGTTACGGAGCAAGTTGAGTTTAGGGGCTATGCTCGGATCATTTTGAAATTTTTACCGCAAGTAGGTATTTGTAACCTGATTACGGCAATGTAATTTTTTTGTGGGGGAAATACCCGGTTACCCGGTTATTCGACCCAAAAGTTCGAATACAACATCCGGTTTGTATCCGGTTCTACGTAACCGATATCAATAAAATGGGTATCATTTGAAAGCTTATGAAAATACCTATCCAACAAGTGGTCATATGACGGGGTTGCTGGAACCGGTTTCGGAGAAATTTAGGAAAATTTGCATTTTTGTATGAGTACTTTTTGAAAAACCTATAAAAACTCGAAAATGGACCCATTATAGGGTCTTAAAATCTATACACTATATTATAGCTAACCCTATTGCCTTTCCAAAATGGTGTCATATGTGTTGATATCTTTTGTGGTTCCGTGGATATAAGAGATAGAATTCATTAAATTATATTTTTCTCCAGTCTAGATGCATTTGACTTTGACCTTTATAGCTTTTTTAAGCAACCGGCCTTCGGCCGGGGCTTAAGATTTTCTCCTCTGGGGTATGTCCAACACCGGCTACGCGATCCATAGTTTTTCTAAAAATTGTACATTTTGTAAGTAGCCGGCCTTCGGCCGGGGCTTAAGATTTTCTCCTCTAGGGTATGTCCAACACCGGCTACGCGATCCATAGTTTTTCTAAAAATTGTAATTTTTGTAAGTAGCCGGCCTTCGGCCGGGGCTTAAGATTTTCTCCTCTAGGGTATGTCCAACACCAGCTACGCGATCCATAGTTTTTCTAAAAATTGTAATTTTTGTAAGTAGCCGGCCTTCGGCCGGGGCTTAAGATTTTCTCCTCTGGGGTATGTCCAACACCGGCTACGCGATCAATAGTTTCCTAAAAACTGTAGTTTTCGAAAGTAGCCGGCCTTCGGCCGGGGCTTAAGATTTTCTCCTCTGGGATATGTCCAACACCGACTACGCGATCCATAATATTCTAACAACACCAAATTAAAAACAAAGCAGATTAACAAGAACGTTAAACCCGACACAAAACTTGGGTTCACTCAAACTGCTTTCATAAGTAACGACTTTAAAAGTCAATATCTTCGGAACTACCAAAGATATCAACACATGTGACACCATTTTGGAAAGGCAATAGTGTTAGCTATAATATTGTGTATAGATTTTAAGACCCTATAATGGGTCCATTTTCGAGTTTTTATGGGTTTTTCAAAAATTACTCATACAAAAATGCACATTTTCCTAAATTTCTCCGAAACCGGTTCCAGCAACCCCGTCATATGACCACTTGTTGGATAGGTATTTTCATAAGCTTTCAAATGATACCCATTTTATTGATATCGGTTACGTAGAACCGGATATAAACCGGATGTTGTATCCGAACTTTTGGGTCGAATAACCGGGTAACCGGGTATTTCCCCCACAAAAAAATTATATTGCCGTAATCAGGTTACAAATACCTACCTGCGGTAAAAATTTCAGGTCAATCCAAGCATAGCCCCTAAACTCAACTTATGCCGATGTTACAAACGGAATGACAAAGTTAATATACCCTCCTTTCCAAGGTGGAGGGTATAAAAATGAGATTATGATAGAGGCGCCTAAAAGCATGCAACACTCTGCGATACATTTACATACATTTTAAGTTTCGTTTTATCCAGAAGGTTTTGGATTATAAATCAGCCTGAGCCCACCTGATTTAAGATTGCTTGTGAAAAAAACATCGTTACCGATTTCTAATTTATATAAGAAATTCGAAATTGAAAATATAGCAACATAAGAACACCAAAAATTAGTTCGAAATAATAAAAGTTGCAGGAGTCTACCCGAATGGGAAAGGCCCTGTGTGTCGCTTTGAGATTCAAGATCGTTTTTTACTGATCAACTGTCGGTGTGTTACATGGTTAGTTTTCCGTCAATCAACCTATGCTTGATAAAAATAGATTACGTAGTTGTAAGGAGAAAGTATTTGGTGTTTTAGGTCCAATTTTAAACCTCCACTATAGTATGGAGGGTATATTAAGTTTGTCATTCCGTTGGTAACACCTTGAAATATACAATTTAGACCCCACAAAATATATATATTCTCGATCAGCACAAAAATCTAGGTCGATTTAACTATGGTCCGTCCATACGTCTGTCTGTCTGTCTGTCTGTCCGTCTGTGGCACTCTAACTTCCGAACGAATTGTAAGTTGGGTTGGTTGATAAAATTGTACTCAAATGTGTGTGTCGTCTGCAGGACTTTTGAAAATGGGCCATACAGTCAGAGCCACCGTATAAGTGTACCTCCCTATAATCCGTATTTTGATAATTTTAGCGTCATTTTTTAACGGGATCGTTTAAAATTTCCTAGTAAAGTTTTTGGGTACTACAGTCTGTGACGGAAAATTGGCTATGAAGGCCCACGTCATCGTGTAGCCCCCATATAACGGTACCTCCTTATATTCGTCATTTTTTATAGTTATAACCTCAGACATATGGCTAGAGAGGGTATATATTATTTGAAACGGCCAAAACGTGCCTAGTCGAAATGACGGGTTTAGACGCTAGGTCCTTTTGGACCAACTCTGTTTCAGGACATATTTTGGTCTAAGTTAGATCGAGTTCGGAGATGGGCAACATCGACCCACACCTTCGGGTACCTCGTCCACAAAATGTCAATATTTTCAAAGAAAATAATTTACTGCACAGAAAGAAAAAGAGTAATCCGATTTTACTCCAACTTTGCATATTCTAATACTTGCATCAGTGCTAGATGAGGTGCGAAAATGGACAATATCGGTGCACTCTACCAGGTACCTTCCCACAAAAGGTCAAAATTTGAAATATTTATAACTTTTATAAAATGTGATGCAAGAGTCCCATTATCTTCAAATGTACACACACACATAATATTTGTATTAACCCAAGGTATGGTGTGAAGATGGTTCACTCCTTCTGGTACCCACCCTACAAAGGGTCAAAATTTTGAATATTCAGTTCAGAAAACACGAAACTAACATCCAATTTCATTCAGACTTGGTCAGACTTGGTCAGATTGGACTAACTATTCCTTCTGATACCTCCCCCACAATGGATCGAAGTTTTGAATAACCAAAGCGATCATAAAATAAACATCCGATTCTCTTCATATTTCACACATCCCATTATCTACTAACACAATATCTGCTGCAAAGATGGGATAAATCGGCCAACTCTTTCTGGTTCCTCCCCCACAAAGGGTCAAAATATTGAAAAGCCATGATGCTCATAAAACACGAATATAACATCCGATTCCATTCAGACCTGGTACATCTCAATACTTCCATAAACACAAGAAGTCTTAGAAAGATGTTGGAGATCGTACCATTTCTTGTGGTACATCCCCCACATATGTTTCCAGATTTGAAGGACAAAACGCTCGTAGAGAGCGAAATAAGAATCCAAATCTCTTCAAATTTCACACACACATACATTTTTATACCACCATACTATGGAGGGTATATTAATTTTTTCATTCCGTTTGTAACTCCTCGAAATACTCATGTCAGACCCAACAAAGTATATATATTCTTGATCAGCGTAAAATTCTAAGACGATTTAGCCATGTCCGTCTCTCTGACTGTGTGTCTGTCTGTCCGTTTGTCTGTCTGTTGTAATCACGCTATCTTTCGAACAAATTGAGGTAGAAGGCTAAAATTTTGCACACATGTATATTTTGCCAGTAGGCAGGTTAAGTTCGTAAATGGGCCATGTAGGTCCAAGTTATCATATAGCCCCCATATAACGGTACCTCCCGATATTCGGTATTTTGGTGATTTTAGCGACATTATTCACCGGAATTGTTTCAAATTTGGCATCTGAAGTTCGTAATGGATACTACAGCCTAAGACAGAAAATAATCTGTGTAGGTCCACGTCTTCGCATAGCCCCTATATAACGGTACCCCCCGATATTCGGTATTTTGATGATTTTAGCGACATTATTTACCGGGATTGTTTCAAATTTCGCATGTGAAGTTCGTAATGAATTCTTCAGCCCATGCCAGAAAATTGTCTGTGCAGGTC